TCTTTCTTTCTTTCTTTCTTTCTTTCTTTCTTTCTTTCTTTCTTTCTTTCTTTCTTTCTCTCTTTCCCTCTTTCTCTCTCTCTCTTCCTTTAAAGCATCTCATTTCCTCCATTTCTCTGGCTGAGGTGAATCTTTCTTTTCTTTCTTTCTCTCTCTCTCTCCCCCTTTCTCTCTCTCTCTCCCCTCCTTTTTTAAAACATCCCATTTCCTCCATTTCTCTGGCTGAGGTGGGTCTCCCTCCCTCCCCAGACTCTTTTCCTGTGATGTGGGGCAAGAGGCTGCAAGGAAAGATGTGGGGTGGCGGGCTGGAGGCAGGATGCTTTCTCTTCCACGCTTTCCACACCCCGGATTTCATTCCTTCTGGGAATTTCCCAGCCTAAGTGAGAGGCCTGAGGCTCAAGACTGTCTGGATTGGTGCTCCCAAAAGACGTTTATTGTGGAGCTGCTTTGGTCTCCCATCCACCCATGGAAATGTGGAAGGGAAATCATGCTTGTTTTGGAGGGGATTATAAAACGGGGTTCCCCTCTCTTAAGACCTCATGGATGAGCCAATTTATTCTGCATCCTTCATTGATTCAATCTGTTTAAACTGGAATAATTATCCTCCCTGGCTCTGCGATCATTGAGTTCAGAAAGAATATGTAGCAGGCAGCCCTCCTTCCTTTCCTAGAGGTTGTTTTAAAGCAATCTATAATTTCCAAAAGACTCTTTTTAAAGTCATCTGCATGTTGTCTTCATTAATTTTCAGTACTGTGTTTGTTTTACCGTATTGTCTATTGTATCCTTGCCTGAGTGCTACAGCGTTGCCAGTACCACTAGTTTCTATCCTGGTTTTTTAATTCTTTGAACAAGTCCTAGTACTTCTAGTTTCTATCCTGATTTTTCTTTCGAGGACAGGGCGTTTTTATTCTTAGAACAAGTCCTGTGACATTGGAGGAGTGGGTATTAAGGGCTAGGGAAAAATGAAGATAAATCATTTTTCTTCCCCAGGTTCTGTATTGGATATATTTAGGATGGTATTTCAAGGTCCCTTAAGCAAATTGTGTAGGTCTGGAATCCATTGAAAAAGACATAAATCTTTTTGTGGGTGACAAACTATTCAGGAGCACTAGAAATCTCTACACCAGCACAACTGGGATTTAAGCTGGTTTGTAGTTTGCTATTAACATTCTATAGGTTGCGTGAAAAAAAACATTTTCAGGGTTATAATTGTAATTATAAGAAGGAATGATAATAAAATCACTCTAATCTTGTGTTTCTGATCCCTACAATATTAGCCCTATTTTTTTTTCATGCAGTTGAAATAGATGGAAACTTAAGATTGTTCTCCTTTATACAGTAACTTGCTTATGATGAAATAAAGATTTTTTTTTAGGAATTGAGACCTGTGGCTGGACCGCAAATGAAAGACATAATTGAGTGCCAAAGAAGAATTTTTTTCCAGCCACCATGTCTGGTTCCAAGCGCAATGAATATCCATGTTTATTGACCAAGAGTTACTGAGATCTCATAGTTAAGTTCAAGATTTAGCATTCCATTGTCGACCCGCTATGCTTTATTTCAAAAAGTTATAAAGAAAGGCATTTATATTCCTTCTTTAATAGCAGAGTTTGCTTCATTTCTTACCATATTTGGTAAGTTTCCATATTTGTGGTCAATCAGTAAGACAGGCCTTAAGGAAAGCCATGTCCTCGTAGCTTTTTTCCTTCCTATCCAAAAATAAATAAATAAGGAATCATCCTGTCTTTCCTGAAAGTGCTGTCTTCCCAGATGTTAAAATCTCTATTGGTCTTTGCTATGGTAAGGGTGAACAGAAGTTACTACAACCCAATAACATCTGGAGAACATATTTCGCCTCTGACTTATGAGGCAACAATGGGATGAATTGAACATTTTGGATTCATGCTGACCAGTATTACTAGATCTGTTGATTGCTGCAAATAAATAAATAGTTCAGAGCTTCTGGTTTCTGATTGACAGACTTGGATTGAAATGCTGATTTTAATCACAAATCCAGAACTATTTGATCTGGAAGCACGTACTGGTATGTAGAATATAAAATGCTGGGTTAGGTCAGCCTTGGCGATTCTTGTATTTTATTATCTAAACAGCAGATAATAACAGCAGGGTGACTTAATTGGGTCGAAAGGAAGTTACGTGACCTTCAGATCCGTTAAGTTGATGAGATTACTGGGGTGGGTGGGTGTAACTTTTTGAAATCCAGTGGGATCCACAGAGGGAAACCCTTACTCAGTAGAGTTGAGACTCCAGAAAGTGTGAAGAGCAGCAAAGATTACGAAGGGGGCAGAGGCCATAGGAAGAACAGTTGTAGGAATTGGATATTTCTAGTCTACTGAAAAGGATTAAAGGTGACATGATAGCAGTTTTGCAATATTTGAAAGGGCTGCCACAAAGAAGTGGGGGTCAAGCTATTCTCCAAAGTACCTGAAGATAGGATGAGAAGCAATGGGTGGAAACTGAGGGGAGATCCTAGAACGAAGGAGGAATTTCCCAGCAGTGGGAATAATTACTCAGTGGAACAGAAGCTGTGGGTGCTCCATCATTTAGAGGTTTTTGAGAAGAGATTGGGCAGCCATTTGTCCAGAATGGTACTATGGGGTCTTCTGCTTGAACTGGGGCTGGACTAGAAGACCTCCAAGGTCCTTTCCAACTCTGTTCTGCCATAGTAAGTGAATCTTCCGCCTGGGAACGTGTGTAAATCCAGTCCAGCCCTCCTTTTCACCCTCTCCCCCTTGAAGAAAACTGAAGGATGTTTGCCATTTGAAGGGATTAATCAGCGACAAGAATGTCTAATCCACCAGGCCAACCAGTGTTGAAATCCACCCAGATTCCGTTGAGAGGAGGGTGCCTCAATTGGGCAATCTCCCACTCCTCCCTTCTCAGAGGTTTCTTCCTTGTATTTGCAAGAAAAAGGAGAGAGAGAAAAAAAATGCTGTCTTGGGGGAAGGGAAGTGACTCCTTAACCAACTGCTTCCCAAAAGAGGAGGGGCTGCAAGGAAGGCGTTTTATTGTGGGGATCGCTACCGTATTTCCTCAAAATGCTGCTGCTTACCAAGTCAATGGGAGCCTGTCCGAACTTCATTTCTGTCTTTTTTTTTCATGGTTTATAATTCAGTACAGGTAGTCCTCGGCTTACAACAGTTTGTTTAGTGACCGAAGTTACAACAGCACTGGAAAAAGTGACTTTCGATCGTTTTTCACACTTTTGACTGTTGCAGTACCGTGATTTACGAAAACTTTGCTGCAGCAGCCAAAAAAGCCAATGCAATCCTAAATTGCATTAACAGAGGGATACAATTGAGAACAAGGGAGGTACTAATATCACTCTATAAAACCTTAGTAAGACCACACCTAGAATACTGCATTCAGTTTTGGTCACCACACTATAAAAAAGATGTTGAGACCCTAGAAAAAGTACAGAGAAGAGCAAGCAAGATGATTAGGGGACTGGAGGCTGAAACATACAAAGAACGATTGCAAGAACTGGGATATGGCTAGTCTAGGGAAGAGAAGGACCAGGGGAGACAGGATAGCAGCCTTCCAATATTTGAAGGGCTGCCACAGGGTATCAATCTATTTTCTAAAGGCCCAGAAGGCCAGACGAGGAATAATGGAGGGAAACTGAACAAGGAGAGATTCAACCTGGAAATAAGGAGAAACTTTCTGACAGTGAGAACGATCAACCCACAGAACAGCTTTCTCTGGAAAATTGTGGGAGCGCCATCACTTGAGATTTTCAAGAAGAAATTGGACTGCCATTTGTCGGAAATGGTGTAGGGTCTCCCACTTGGGCAGGGGGTTGGACTAGATGACCTACAAGGTCCCTTCTAACTCGGATTATCTGTTATCTTAACTTGATAAGTGGTTCCTATTTATGACCGTTGCAGTGCCCCAGGGTCATATGATTCCCTCCAAGCAAAGCCCATGGGGGAAGTCAGATTTCCTTCACAACCATGTTACTAATGTAACAACTGCAGTGATTCACTTAACCACGTGGCAAGAAAAGTCGTAAAATGGAGCAAAATGCACAAATTTCTCACTTGGCAAGATATATTTTTTTAGAATATTTTTTATTGCTTACTTATAAATATATTGAATACAGTGTAATGGGCTATGGCATTCCAATTGCCATAAAACAGAAGTAATAATGTATATGCAAATGTATATATACAAATTTTTGTACAAAAAAAATTCTGACCATCGTATCATATGTCAACTCCTCTATCATTCTAATACTTACATTCCTCTACCGATAATACAGACAGTGTCTCTTTCCAAGTCTCCCTCACCTGATACTTTCGCCTTCCAACTTCTACCTCGTGTTTCTAACCATTGATAAAACCTATTCCATGTTGAGTAGTATTCTGTATATCTTTTTTTTTACTGTGAGTCTGTCCATTTCTGCACAGTCTAGCATCTTCCTTATCATATCCTCTTAACGGGGTGTTTCCCTTCTTCCACTACTGTGTGTATACAATTCTTGCTGCGGTCAAAACGTGTAATATTAAATATTAAAGCAAGATAAATTTTGATCTCAATTGTGGTTGTAGGTTGAGTACCTATAGTCTGAAAAATGGGGCTTTGTATGATCCTTCTCAGTGTTGTAATCATTAAGTAATTGACTTGGTTATTTTAGGGCATGGCTCTCCAAAATTGGCAAACTCAATGTTGGCTGGAGAATTCTGGGAGTTGGAAGTCCACAAGTCTTAAAGTTGCCAAGTTTTGTTGTAGTTAGCCGGCAGCAGGTTTGGATGGCTGAGGACAGCGAGGACTCAGATGAGGGGCCAGGACCACCAGGGAGGGGACTGCTACCTTCAGAGATTGTGGGGGCTGGCAGCGATGAGATTCCCGAGGAGCCTGTGCCAAGTGTGCGCAGGGCTGCTTGCAGGAAAGAGCAGCTACAGCAGCATGGGTGACTCAGGAGTAAGGCTGCAAGGTAATGGCCCCTCCTTCAAGAAGATAAAAGCCAGCTGTGAATTGGACATTCTTTGCAGGAAGCAAAGACGTTCTGAAACTCAAGCCTTGTGGACATTGCAGTTTCTTAAGTTGGTACTTAAAGACTCTTGTGTTGTAAAATATCTCTAGGTAACCTTATCTGTTATTCTTGGCAGCCTCACACAGTTTTGGCGAGGCTTGTGCTTATCAAAGTTAATTAGTTTGCAGCAGCCTTTTAACCAGGGATTCATAAGAGTCATTAAAAGGTTTCTCTTCCCTTTGGTTCGTGTTTGTTTTATTGGAAAAGGGTTTGGGTCAGAACAAGTTTAGAGAACTCTGTTGTAGGGAATTAAGAACCCTTCTCTGTTTATCTGTTCCAAAAGGATCCAAAATTGAGGGCAGGCGTGGCACTGTGGAGGCAAGTTGCTGATCAGCAGAGGCCCTTTTAAAGCTAGTTCTTCTGTCTCCACTGATACACATTCTATACATGGCGGGGAAAAAAGAATCTTGCAAGTTTACAAGACAGATGGCTTAAGGAACAAAGCTGTTACACAACCTAGTAATCCTGCTAGAGATACTTCAAAACCTCCTCCTAGAAGGGAGCGACAGAAACAGACTGTGAGGAGTGGGTGTGTGGGGTCTCTAACAATGCTTTGAGCTCTAAGCACAAAGTGCTTATAGGCAGTATCCTGGATAATGGGAAACGAGCTTCCTATAATCTCCACTGTCCTCACCACTCTCTGTATGGACTTTCTATCCGAGACATTGGAGCCATAAAACCAAACAGCGATGCAGTTTGTTAAAATGATCTCAATCATGCCTCTGTAAAAAAGTAACCAGGACAGAAGAAGAAATATAATTTATTATTACAGCAATCATAATTGATTATTCTGATTATAATGGCAACTGGTAAATGTTGTGTTTTCTTGGAACTAAGCAAGAAACAAATCCAGTTTCAAATCTTTGCTTTGAATTCTAAGCACATAGCACTTATAAGCAGTGTCCTGAATAATGGGGTAAGCTTCCTATAATCTCCGTTATCCTCACCACTCTCTGTACAGACTTTCTATATGAGGTACTGCTATGTATGTGTATACATTCAAACTAGACTGTGATGTTTCTCTGTGTCATATATCTCCATATATGGGTGTATGTATGTATGTATGTGTGTGTATGTGTATGTATGTATATATATATATATTTTTTCTTAAGTTTTCGCGGGTACTTACATGTATGGCATTCGGCTTTGCTCGGGTATTTTCCCACGTCATGATAGATAGATAGATAGATAGATAGATAGATAGATAGATAGATAGAT